ATTTGCTTTTTCATTTCCCTCAGTTTAACTCGGATTCCTTTCCCCCGATAAATGTTTTACAAGTTCATTTTACTGATGAAAGATTTTGCTGTGATTAAAGATTTCATGAAGTTATGACAAGGGTGTAATAGATCTTCATTCTTCAAGGCTTCGCTTGCCTTGAGCTGATTGAGTAGGCTGGGCGTTGATGGCTGTCAGAATGAATGACTGTCTCACATTCACTGTAACTCCATTAGAGTAGGCCACCCCGCCCTTCTAGAGTTAAACTCAAATATACAGCCTTAAGGAAAGAGTATTTTAAGGACATGCAGTCAAGCAGGATAGGGTATTCACCTGCTTCCCTGGAAAAGAGTTCATATTTGTAATAGATTGTAAAATGGATTTTCCAAGAATATCTTGTGGCATGTTAATGATGTGCTGCCTGCAGTGTGGCCCCAACTGCATGCTCAGTATTCTTGGACAAGAACCTCTTTTTTAGTAAATCATTTGGCTAAGTATGGAAGTAAAGAAAATGGAGTATTACAGAAATAGAGAAAGAAAATAGAGTGCTACATTTGAGGTCAGGGGCTCTGGATTCAGGTCTCAATTCTGATGCATACCAACTTTTTAACTCTTATTGTTTTCTAACACTGTTGCGGTTTCATGGTGTATTGTGGTGGTACCATCTCAAAGAATTCAGAATCAGACCATCTCTGATCCAAGTACAGGCATTTATTGAGGATTGATGCCCCTCAGAAGCAGGCTAGGTTCCAATAGGAACCAACAACTTAGTAAGACAACACAGGTAAATTTATAGTGTAATGATGCTGATTACACAACAAAAATTATGAATGTTTAAAAGGCAGGAGGGGTTTGTTAAGGTATTAAGTAATAGGGGAGGGGTCCCTTCTATGATTCAGTGGTCAGACATCCTGCTCATGCTGCTTTCTGATTGGCTAGCTACTGTGGTCCTGTCTGGTCAAGATGTTAAGTATTGTGTTCTTATCTTGGGCTAAATGGATGATGTAGTTGTGGTTGAGTACAAGAACACATCTGTTCAAATATGTGAATTGTATCTGAGGGCAGTGGCTAGCTAAGAACAGTGGTTATATTGAGTCTGGGGGCCTGAGGTGTGGTTAAAGCCAGATTATGTGGATAAATCAGGACATGCCTACTGTTCTGTGGGGCCTATAAGGAAGTTAGAATGTCAGGGCTGCCCCTAATAAAACTGGGGGCAGCTTTATTAGGATTCCGTCAATACCATCTGTGTTTTCCCTCTTGTCTCATTTCTATGTAATCATGCATTCCATTATCTGAATGATTATTATGGGAAAGAGGGATTAAATTTATTTGTTTGGTGCCACTGAGTAGAAACCAATGGCAGAAATGACAAAGAAGTAGATTTTAGTTCCATATAAGGGCAAGCTTACCAGTACGAATCTTTCAAAAAATGGATTGGGGTACTTTAAAAGGTAGAAGTTTTCAGAGAGAGGCTTGATGACCACTTGCTGGTGTAAAAATTACTCTTGTTTCAGGTTGGTACTAAACTTGATGACCTTTGAGGTGTTAGTTTTAGTGTTAACATTTTTTGTTTTTTGACCTGTTCAGACTTTAAAACACTGTTTCTATTGTCACGCCTTATAGCACTATACTGCTCCATAATAATCTCTCCCTTCTTTGACTTCCTCTAATACCTATTGCTTTTCCTGATCTTTTGATACTTACCATATATCACTAGATTTTGTTAACTAATCTTCCACATAACTTCTTCAACAAAATTATATACTTATTTTTAATATATATCCAATAATACATTAGTGTTCCAATTTTTCCACATCTTTTCCAACATTAATCATTTTCCTGTTTTGTCATGTTAGCCAATCTAACAGGTGTGATGTGATACCCCAGAGTCATTTTGATTTGCATTTCTGTAATCAATAGTGACTTGGAACATTTTTTTCATATGACTATGAATAGCTTTAATTTCTTCCTCTGAAAACTGCCTGTTCATTTTCTTTGACCATTTATCAATTGGGGAATGACTTGTATTCTTATAAATTTGACTTAGTTCTCTATATGTTTTAGAAGTGAGGCCCTTAGAGTCACTGGTTGTAAAAATTATTTCTCAGTTTTCTGCTTCCCTCCTAATCTTGGTTGCATTGGCTTTGTGCAAAAACCTTTGCAATTTAGTGTAATCAGAATTATCCATTTTGCATTTCATAATGTTCTCTATCTCTTTTTTGGTCATAATTTCTTCTGTTCCCCATAAATCTGAAGGTAAACTATTCCTTGATCTCCCAGTTTGCTTATGGTATCAGCCTTTATATCTAACTCATGTACCCATTTTGACTTTATTTTGGTATATGGTGTAAGATTTTTGGTCTGTGCCTAGTTTCTGCCATACTCTTCCAGTTTTCCCAGCAGTTTTTGTCAAATAATGAGTTCTTATCCCAGAAGCTGGGGTCTTTGGGTTTATCAAACAGTAGATTACTGTAGTCAAACAGTAGATTACTGACTACTGTGTCTTGTGTACGTGACATATTCCACTGATCCACCACTCCATTTCTTAGCCAGTACCAAGCAGTTTTGATGATTGCCACTTTATAATACAATTTAAGATCTTGTGTGACTAGGCCACCTTCCCTCGTGTTTCTTTTCATTAGTTCCCTTGATATTCTGGACCTTTTGTTCTTCCAGATGAATCTTCTTATTATTTTTTCTAACTCTATAAAATAATTTTTGGTAGTTTAATTGGTATGGCACTGAATAAATAAATTAATTTAGGTAGAATTGTCATTTTTATTATATTAGCTTGGCCTACCCATGAGCAACTGATGTTTTTCCAATTATTTAGATCTGACGTTATTTGTGTGAAAAGTGTTTTGTAATTGTGTTCATATAGTTCCTGGGTTTGTTTCGGCAGGTAGACTCCTAAATATTTTATAATGTCTACAGCAACTTTAAATGGAATTTCTCTTTCTATCTCTTGCTGTTGAGCTTTGTTGGTAATATATAGAAATGCCAATGATTTATGTGGGTTTATTTTATAGCCTGCAACTTTGTTAAAGTTGTTTATTATTTCAAGTAATTTTTTCACTTGATTCTCTAGGATTCCCTAAGTATACCCATCATATCATCTGCAAAGAGTGATAGCTTTGTTTCTCCTTAGAGCCCTTAATAACCTAGTATCTTTGTGTATTACCACTCTTCTTCCATCTGGTACAGTGACAATGATCTGTTTTGCTGTTCCTCAAACACAACCCTCCACTTCTCAGCTAAAGTTCCACCTTCTACAAGACTTCTTTTCCTGATTCTCCTTGATTTTAATCCATTTCATCTGAGGTGATCTCAGTTTATTCTGTCTATAGTTCATCTATGTCATAATTGTGAATTTTCTCCCCATTAAACTGTGAACTCCTTCAGAGGAGGGACTGTTTTTCTTTTTCTTTTCTTTTCTTTTTTTTTTTTCCCCTTTCTTTGTATCTCCAGTGTTTAGGACAATGCCTGGCACATAGCAGGTGCTTAATGAATGCTAGTTGACTGACTGATTTACTAAACTCCATAGAAAGAAAGTGTCTTGCCAAAAGTTATGTGCCTCCTAAGTAGAAGGGAATTGACCCTAACTCTTCTGACTTAAAGCCTTGCATTTTTACACTGTTATGCTGCCTCCTAGAAAGCTGTTCACAGTGGAAAAGGAATGCTTCTTCCTATATGCAGAACAGTTGACTTCTCACCTTGACTTTTTAAATGTGGGAATCTGAGAATGGCTTAAATTTCTATTTCTAATCTCTGGCAGCTACATTTTGCTGAAATGACAAGGTATATTGTTTCTCCTACGTCACCAATAAGGATGTTTATCTGTTACAGATCTTTTTTCACCTGGTTCTTTTGGGCAATGGTATTCTCAGATCTATTTATACTTCTTAGTCTAGATTTTGTCTAACTGGTGACCAAGATTGTAAGAGGACTGGAAACTGCCATTCATAGCATCACAAAATCAGAACCTCAAAGACCATCTAGTCCAGCTCTTAGCTATGAGGCCATCTCTTTCCACCCTCCCTAGAAGTGGTCAATAAGCCTTTGCTTCAAGGAATAGCTAATGGAACTTGAGAGATTGAGCCTAGAAAATCAAATATTTAGGAGACTTGATATTTTTCTTTAGTAGTTTGAGAGTTATCATGTGGAAAAGTGATTAGCTTGGCTTTGTTTGGCCTCAAAGAATAGAATCTGAAACAGTAGGTGTAATTTATATAGAAATCAGTTTTGGCTTGATAACACGAAGAGGCGCCTCTAACAATTACAACTACTTCAAGAGATGGCGCTTTCTTAGTCATTGGAAGTATTTTAAGTGGAGCTTGGATGATTGATTGTTTGGAATATTGTAACAGGAACTCTTGTTTATGTATGTATTCTCACCTGGCTGTACTACTCTGGGACTTCGTCTCTCTTTCTTTCTCTCTTTCTCTCTTTCTCTTTCTTTCCCTCCCTCCCTCCCTCCCTTCCTTCCTTCCTTCCTTCTTTCCTTCCTTCCTTCTTTCCTTCCTTCCTTCCTTCCTTCCTTCCTTCCTTCCTTCCTTCCTTCCTTCCTTCCTTCCTTCCTTCCTTCCTTCCTTCCTTCCTTCCTTCCTTCCTTCCTTCCTTCCTTCCTTCCTTCCTTCAACATTTAGCACAATGCCTGGTACATAGTAGGTACTTAATAAATGATTCTTGATTGTTGACTTTTGGACTAGTTTTCATTTAGGTCCTTTTGATTGTGAGATTCTATGATTCTACTTAACAGTGTAGCCTGATGTTAGCTTGGTAGAATTCACTTTATAGCTAATATTTTAAAAATTAAATTTCTGGTCTGCATATGTCCCTTAAGAGAAGCAATATTCTTGGGGGAGGAGGAGGTAGGCAAGAATGAGAGGACAAGGGAAGGACAATGGCTTAAAAAGTTAACAATTTTTCAGTTTCCTCTTTGAGAGTGAAAGATGAATATGATTCTTTTTTAGTAATATGTCTATATCTTTTCCACCCAGTACCCGTCAATGCCATCTGCTTCTGGATGTATTCAACTCTACAGAGCATGAGCTAACTATCAGTGCTAAGAACAATGAAGAGCTCATTCTACATGCTGGGGAATGTCAAAGGTAAGTGCTTCTAAACATTAATGAGCATTCCTTTTTTTGGTATCATATCAGTACCAAGGATTCAGGCATTTAACAGGATGGTAAATTTGATGGGACACTGGTGGTGGTATCCCTCTTAGTCATTAGGGACTAGAAGAGTTTCCAGAAACTATGGTTCATCTGTGCTAGAGAAAAGGGTTTGTTTCCTCAAGAGGCAGGCTATCTAGTACCTGAGCACTCTTGTTTCCTAAGCAGCTTTCCCTTGGTGATGCAGCTGCTCTGAGTCTCCATACCAACTGCTTCTTCAGACCTGGATAGACATCAATGGTAGTAACTGCCAGCTGCCATTTTCACCAAGAAATGCGGAAGTGTAGAGAGTTAAAAGCCTGTGTTGGGTCAAGCTAAAAGTGTTTAGAGTGCCAAATCAAGTGTCTATTTGAATGAACACACTATACAGGGAAAAGTGTAGATGACAGTGATAGCACAGTCTGTTCTCACACAGTGCTTCAATTTGAGACCTGACAATCTAGCTGATATTGGAGGGGTCAGGGTTTTTTTTGCATATGTTTAGGTTTTTCTCTTTGAAGGATTCTTTGAGTATTGTTCGGAGTTAAGGTGATTCGACACGATGATGGGTAGAATACAAAATAGTTACGTAGGCAGGATAGCCGTCATCTTTGGTAGGCTATGGCCTCACCATTGGCTTAGTGGAAAGGATTTGTCAACCTCTAGAAAGATTTGTTGGTTCTACAGGTAATGAAAGCATCCTTTATTCCTAAGGTTCCTTGAGGACGTGATGGTGGTTGCCCTTTCCTCTCTATTCTTATGTTGATTGCCTTCCCACAGGGTATATTTTGGAAAGCTCCAAATCACCCAAGTAATCGTTGACCATGTAAATAGCGGTACAGATGATAAGGCAGGGAAAAAAATTGGAGACAAACTATAGTTCACATTTTGGCTAGATAAATCAGTACCATTATGGTGTCATTCCATGCTATATGCACAGTTGAGACAGTAGTCTTGATGGTAGAAAGCATGAGAGACACTGTTTCTGGCTTCAGTTTGTCTTTTATCTGCCTGCTAGACTCGATCTAATATGTTATTAAGAGTGTTGCTTTTAGGGGCAGCTAGGTGGTGCAGTGGATGGAGCACTGGCCCTGAAGTCAGGAGGACCTGAGTTCAAATGCGGCCTCAGACCAAACATGACACTTAACCCCAATTGCCTAAAAGCAAAAAAAAAAAAGAGCGTTGCTTTTAGTTGAGAATCATAGATAGCATTCATAAATGAGAACTGGGGGGCTCTGATCAGAGGTAATATGACAAAGAAGGCTGTGGAGCCTAATATTTTATTTCAGCAACAGGTAGGTGGCTTCAGTGAAGGAGGAGGAGGGAGGTCCAACAAAGGGAAGGAATTAAGCTTTCTAGTGTCACCAGATTCACATCATATCTTTGAGATGTGAAGCAAGCCCATCTATCTCAGGCATTGCAAGGACTTGTCAGGGATTGTAGCAAGTGTGTTGGTTATCCCCAGAGTCCTTTGCCTACAGATATAACTGAATATTCTGAACACATTGGCAAATGTTTGGTGGGCTTTGTATGTAGCCTGTAAAAGTCTATGGGCCTGAGTAGATCAAAATAAGGGTAGAAATAAATTGGTACTTCAGATAATTGAATATGTTTTCACATGTGACATTAATTAGGTTCAACAAATATTTTGAATGTCTTGGGATCTTTCTGCACTTTGAAAAGAGCTGTCAGTGAAAAAAGTAAAAGAGGGGCAGCTAGGTGGCACAGTGGATAGAGCTCCAGCCTTGGAGTCAGGAGGAACCGAGTTTAAATCTGGCTTCAGACACTTGACACTTACTAGCTGTGTGATCTTGGGCAAGTCACTTAACCCTGATTGCCTCACCAAAAAAAAAAAGAAAGAAAGAAAAAAGTAAAGGAATGAAGCAATGCTAATAAATAAAAAAAATTAGGAACCCACTGTACATACATCTTTCATTGATGTAGGGCTTTACTATTTTAGTACAGCCTCAACCTTACACACCCACGATACCTCCCTGCCAGACTCATGTGATAGAGAAATTCTGGCTCTCTCAAATGATCATTTCTACAACCTGTCAAAAAGCTGTTGTTGGTGTTAGGGCCATAGGATGGTTCAGATCAATCCAGCCTGCTTGGTGGAGTCGCTAGCACACCAGCTTGTTTTTTGCAAGTCTTGAAATCTTCAGTTCATAAATCTCTGAACAAATTCAAGGTTATTTTTTTTTTATATGGAAGAGAATACCCCTGTCTTTATGAAGACCATGCTAGGTCAAGCAGGCTGTCTTCCTCTCTCTTCCCCCCTGAATTCGGATCACATTATATTTCCCCCAAATATTTAATTTGGTGAATACCACTAGTCTAGCTGATGCATCAGGTTAGGTATCAGGTTCATTGGAAACTTGTCTCAAGTGATGATGGCATTGAGTGACATTGTTTTGACAGAGCTATAACTTTCTACTTTTCTCAGCAGATATTATTGTGGTCAGGCAAAGGGATACATGTTGACCTTTTGACAAATCTTTTGCAAAAAATTATTTACAGGTAATATCTCTTGTCTTGATTAATGAATTTATCTGGTTAGACAAAAGTTGTGCTCTTATAACTGGGTTAGTTGCACAGTTGTGTAGTGATTAATGCCTTGGAGAAAGAGCTATGTTTAGGGTCTGGCAGGAGGCTAGGACTGGATGTGTCATACATCTGTTCCAGGAATTTCTTCTAGCAGTGTTGGGAGCACAAGTACCACATAGTTCCTGAGTTCCTGCCTCTAGTTATTTAGTTATTTCAAGCCTTGATATAAAGTCTAGACCTGGTTCCCCAAGTTTCACAGACTTCCTCATGGTGCAGATTTAGCTGTAGTTGTGCAACCTGAAGGAATGCTAGAATAACTGTTACAAATTCAGCCATAACCAGAGGTGAGACTTTATGTGGTTATGTTGCTGGATGACTGTGGTCAGTTAATAGCTATGTTTACCCAGCACCTAGAATAGCATCTTGCAAATAATAAGTGTATAATAATTTTTGTTCAAGAATAATAAGCCAATATCTCCCCCTGCCCATTCCCTTGTTTCCCCAGCCAACTTATTCACCAGGGCAGGGATATTCTATTCCATGTCCTATGTGCTATCTTTGGGTCAGAAAGGTACATGGCATCCTCTGATGATCTCTTGTCCCTGTTGGTGTGAAAAGATCCAGAGTTTAGAAGTTACATGTTGAAAGGGGTTGTTCAGTTTCTCTTTATTGTTTAAATAGAAGGTTGTTTCTCATGAAGAAATTAAGGGATGTACAGTCTGATCAGTTAAATGGGATGATATGAAGGCCTCCTGGTCTCTGGTTTATCCCTTGGGAGAAGAGATCCATGAATAATTTTCATGTTGTCCTAAACATTGGATTATCTTCTCTCAGCTTGGTAAAAGGATCTTATCAGCTCCTTGTGCCTCCCAGGAGGATAGCAGACTTTATCTCCTTTTGGAGCCATTTGGACATTTCCCAAAAGATTCCAGACACTCTTGGTCTTCAGACAGTTCTATAGAAGTTGGCTCCATTCGTTACTGAAGTTTTTCAGACTCTGGGGCCCTTTGGAGGACACTAAGCAATCAACATCTGGTGGAGGAAAGAATGTGTTTGACCTCTATGTCAAAACAATAAAACTAGATCCCTAGTTCTTAGGAGGAGGTAGATCTGGCTCTTGCTGAGCCATCCCCCATATAGACCCTTCTAGTAGTCCCATCTTTTGGGGACAAGATTATACAAAATACCAATATGTTCAGGGCTTACTCTCATGTGCTCCTTCACTTTATCACACTGTATCTGGGAAGCTACTATTTGGAAGCAAGTTAGAGGGACTCCATCATCCAGAGAGGGGATGGTCAGAAGTTGCTGGGCTCATGCCCTTTTGATGACCTTCGGTGATCTTTGTGGCATCATACCTTCTGATCCTTGAAGGCATGGTTCATAATAATACACAGTACCTATACTTACATAACTTATATATGTAGGCATGTAGACAAGTCACTTACCTTCTCAATTTCCACATTTCTAACATGGGAACTTTAGTATAATGTTGCTTTTATCTCTTCTGGTTGCTAAAGGGAAAGTACTTTAAGGCATTTTATAATTGTGGTTTTATTAATATAAATAATAATAAACCATTTCATTCATGGCCTCAGGAAAATAAGCTTCATCCATTAATAGATATTCTGTTATTCATTTAAGATTTATAATCTATTTCCTTCCATAAGAATTGGAGGCCATTTACAGATTAAAACAATGGGGTATGGGACATTTCTGTGGGTATTCAGGCTGAGTGGATGCTTTCTGCCACCAGAACTTAGCAGATTTTAACAATTGATATGTAAGTTCCCTAACACTTGTTCCCCTTGAGCTCCAGGATAATATTAACAACTCATATTTATGTAATACTTTGTGGTTTACCAAGGCCTTAACTAATAAAGCCCTCCCATAATAACTGCATGGGATAGGTACTTTTTTTTTTTTTTGGTACAGACCTGTGATTTAACTAGTATGTCATACATCTTCCCCTCCAAACTCCATCTATCAGTGCAGATCTGCAGCTGCTTTGCACCTTACAGTCATAGAAAGTTTTCTCAGATTTGAGAGGTTAAGTGATTTGGACAGGGTCACACAGCTAGTAAATTTCAAAGCCAAAATTTGAACCTAGTTATCCTGTCCGCAAATCCAGTGTTCTTACAACTATTCACACACTACTTCAAAATAAAGATTTTATCATTCAGAATTCAAATCCAGATTCATCTTTATATTATTTGGAAGTAAAGGTCAAATTGGGGCAGCTAGGTGGCACAGTGGATAGAGCACCAGGCCTGGAGTCAGGAATTCAAATTCAGCCTCAGACACTTACTAGCTGACCCTGACCAAGTCACTTCACCCTGTTTGCCGCAGTTTCCTCATCTGAGCTGGAGAAGGAAATAATAAACTGCTCCAGTATCTTTGTCAAGAAA